AAAAGAATTTCTTCTTTTGTTGATAAGATAAATCAGGAGGAAGAATATTACATGCCAAATAATTTGCAAAATCAGCAAACCAGGGAGAAGATGTCACCTCAATAGTGTACAGTTGCTCATCTGGAAATTCTTCTCTAATCGGGCATGCACTTACCTCTTGGCTAGGATTCTTAAGCCTTGACAAATGATCAGCAACTGAATTTTCAATCCCTTTCTTGTCTTTAATTTCTAGGTCAAATTCTTGTAGCAGTAGAATCCATCTAATTAACCTTGGTTTTGCATCTTTCTTTGCAAGCAAATACTTAAGAGCAGAATGATCAGTATAAACCACAATTTTGTTAGCAATCAAATAAGAACGAAATTTATCAAAAGCAAATACTACCGCCAAAAGTTCCTTTTCTGTGGTTGTATAATTCAATTGAGCTTCTGAAAGGGTGTGGCTGGCATAATATATGGTTTGAAAAACTTTGTTCTTTCTTTGTCCCAAAACAGCTCCTACAGCACTATCACTTGCATCACACATAAGCTCAAAAGGTAGATTCCAATCTGGTGCCACCATGATGGGTGCATTTATAAGTTTTTCCTTTGCTCTATCAACTTCAATGCCTTTTTGAGAAACTTTGTGTCCAAGCACTATACCCTCCTGTACCATAAAGTGACACTCAGCTTTCACTACCTCTTGCATGTGTGGATTTAAACGCCTTTGTGGTTGAATGCTCGGTTTGTAGCTTTCCTCCATGAGTATTTTGTGCATGCAAATTGAGGGGCTAATTCCTTTTATGTCGGTTATTGTCCACCCAAATGCTCCTTTGTGCTCCCTTAAAACTCGAAGAAGCTTCTCCTCCATTAAACCTGTCAAAGAAGAAAAAATAATTACAGGCAAAGAAAGATCTTCATCTAAATAAGCATATTTTAAATGAACAGGTAAAGGCTTGAGTTCAAGTTTTGGAGGTTCTTCTAGTGATGGTTTTAGCCGAGGCATATTAGCTCTAAAATCTTGAATACTTGGCTCCTTTGAGTTCAAGAACGGTGGGCAAGCTTCTAAATGAAATGCATACTCCCTAATGTCCTCATTTTCAGTAGTAATGTCTTTGGAATGAACAACACATGCCTCCAACAGATCTGGACAAACTTCCTGCAACATCTCATTAATTGTTTCATCAATTGTTTCCATCATAAAACAAGAGTCAATATCAGATGGGTATTTCATGGCATCAAAGACATTAAAAGTAACTTGTTCATTTTCTACCCTAAGCATCAATTTTCCTTGCTGCACATCAATTAAAGCTCTACCAGTGGCTAGAAAAGGTCTGCCTAAGATAAGAGGTACCTCATGGTCTTCTTCCATGTCC